GACTCAAACAGTTGTATTGTTTTATATGATAATGATTTGCTACGGCTGGGCCAGTCTACCAAACTCCCTTCTGTTGTCACTAGGGAACTTTCCTTGGTTATGGGAAGCAGGATACGGGGATCGCTTCGTCTGGTTATCCAAACCATTTTAATAAAGTCACACACAAACTGGCGCACAGTACGACAAATTGCCGATGCGATTCGTAATTCTTGGTTTCCGCACATTTAACATAGAAATAATGTAAACACGTTAGACAAAGGTCTGCAATCACGTGACAACATATTGGAACACATTAGGTAATCAGTTATTTTTGATTTTACAACAACCAGAGCAATGTCTGTATTTGATTTATTGACACAATATAAGTATAATTGTATTGTATTCTAACGGCAAGTATTTATCACACAGAATAAATCAAACACGTGACACCAATTTCACACAGCCATAAACCCCCTTCTGTCACCCAGCGACCCGGTAGATTAATTTTGTAATAATTCTTCAATTTCCAGGTGTACTGTCTACTTTTGCCGCTCCCTTCCAAGACACCATGGTTTTAAGCTGGCTCGTTCCAATAGTTTACCTAATGCTTTCAACGTTTTCTATTCACAAAGCCGTGACATCTAAATGTCAGAGTGATCGTGTACTAGCATTTCTTTCACCAGTAATTTACAGGTGGACTGTGGTAGTATTGAGAGTATTTGGTAAAATAGGTGGCAATCCATTTGCCAACTACTATCTTGTCTGGATGGAGGTTCTTGCCGCTGCGGGCGCTATAATAAACGTATGTCGCATTCCCGAACGCTGGTTACCAGGCCGTTTTGATTACGTAATGAACAGTCATCAAATAATGCATATATTGTCAATTCATTGCATTGATGAATTCACAATGGGGTGCCGTGGAAGACTTAGCTTGGATGAGCAGAACAGTGTCGTGACGAAGATTGTGCTCAATCATCTTAAACCACATAGTTACCCCGTTCAACGACTAGAAAGTGGGAATGGGTTAGATCACACATCGGGGAGGTTACAAGTAAACCTGGCACCAAAACGAATGCAGTAGGAAGAATGCAGAAAGTGTTGAACACACTTGTGTTTTTAATATCTTAACGACCTATTTCTTGCTATTATATATATTGACATTTATTAACGAATTATTTGTAAGTTACAAGTACAGCTTAATTATATTTATTTGAACGCTTTTTATAGTATCGCATTCTTATTTGAGCATTCCACTAATTCGATGAAAGTGCTTTTAACTGATTGTACTAAATATGAATGTGCCATACCTTGCAACGTGCATATAAATAATAAAGCCGTACTTGTTAGTTGCAAATACATATAAACATGCCGTGCTTGCAACATGGACGCTGAGTTACAAGTAAATATGACGTACTTGCAACATATGAATTATAAGTAAATAAATATAAATACGTAGTACTTGCATAACTCGTTAATAAATTCAAATATATACTATAATGGAAAGAACTCAATCGATCATAAAACGTGTGCGGACGAAACTTCCATGGTTGTAAGATGGATGCACCATGGTCCGTGAATTCACCTCAGACTACTGTAGTGGTCTGAGAATTCACCAGTCTAAGACATACAATTTGTATAATATGTACAAATTGTTAGAAAAATAATCTGAACGACGTGGTTCAAAGATTTGGACGTGTCAAACAAATGTTCTAGCGAAACTGTGATTAAAATACATTTTCAATTGTTATTGGACTTCATGGAAACACGGTTACTAAGTGATGAAATATTTGACATATATATGTGTAGCTTCATAATATGGGGTGAGAATACCGCCAAAATTAGCTTGGTGTCATTATTTGAACATTGTTTAATTGTTTGATCTTTATTTGGAAACTTGTTTGGTTATTATTTGGTCATTATTCGGTTATTTGGTCTTTATTTAAACATTATTTTGTGCTTATTCCATTAAGTGTGTTATTACTGCAGCATCGTATTGCCATTGTTTCATTATTCCAACTTTATTTCTTAATTATTTCATTATTGTGTAATTGTTACAATATTATTTTGTCATTGTTTCATTCTATTACAATTGTGTCGTTATTTAGACATTATCTTGACATTCAATTGTCATAAGATTCGGTTATTTTCACGTCCAAATGTCTTGACATTCGGTTCGCCTGACTTGCGAATACCTCAACATTCGGTTCGCTTGACTTTCGGTTACCTCAACATTCGATTACCTGACCTACATTAGCTGACTCCGCCATACATGTAATATTCAATCCATAGTCCCGGGCCGCCTCTGATAAAGCGTTGCTCATGATGGCAATGTAGCCTTTGTAAAAGTTAGCGGGAATTTCTGAATGATGGCCGTTTCATCAACATCCAGGGAACTGACTGGGGTCGTCAGAGCCTGTCGTGATGAAATATCAAAATGCCGCAAAACTTGTTGTTGACACGACGCGCTCCTTGCGAAATTCGCGAGTGATGATCCGACTTGATCATTATATTGACATGATGTGCTAAGAACCGTTCACAAGACTCTTAGTCGTTACCGTGTCGTGAACTCGCAAAATTCGAAATAGCAACTAATATTCTTCAAGCTGGTATTTTTATAGATTTTATTTTTCATTCTTTTCGCCCATTATTCCAGTTTAAAAATGTGAGCTGACTGGAGCCTTTATCCCTTGTCTATTTCTAATACTGTACACTAAATACCAGCCGATAGCGCCCCCTCACCTCGCCCATAGCTACCGCGTACAGTTTATTATAGTTCCTGGGCTCCCTGTGGTCTAAGCTGTGAAAAGTGAAATTAACAATTCGTTTCTGGTGACGAGGCAACTTGTTGGAACTGGCGCCGGCATTACTAATGTATCACAATCATGCAGGACTGTGTTACAATCAGGTGCAGCCAATGGAGCTGTTCATAGGAAAAGCTTGTCCAAGGGATTTTTGTTGAGGGCAGAGGATTTTTCCTGTTTTTTGTAGGGGGTGGGAAATATCAGTACCCCCTAGTGGGCAAGGCAGATTTATTAACAAAATGGACAGGGGAACTTTTTTTTAGTGGATAGGATACTTACACATTGTGACACAGTCTCACCAGCCTCTTTCACTTAGGCAATATAATTATGCCATTTCCCAATGCACTTATATTTAATACCTTGACAAAAACACAACAAGAAAAATGTAAATCAGGCTTGTAATTCCTAGTAACTCAACTCGAACGCAATATTCATCACTGTAAAAGTGGATAAATTTGAACCAGCCAACTCATGACCGGAGACGTCCAGTCGTCTTCGTTGAATACTCGCCAATTCACCATAATCGTGGTGGTGAACTGTTTAGCTGATTTTTCAAAAGATCTTATGGATATTCAATTCATATTCATCCCAACTTATTTGAATATATTCTTTCGGGAATTTGAGACATTGTTCAAACGATCCTGTACAGGGTTATGTCTGATGTCAACTAATAATACGCAATTGTCCAGGCAGTTCTAGAAACTATTGCTGATACTAATCATGTTTTGTAAGCTGGGAAGTTGGATACTTGAACGTGTAGTCCCGGGCGTGTAGTAGACGGGAATAATCGTACTGTCACATGTTTTCGTCTTAGCCTTGTCTTTTTGTTTTAACCGTCACAGTCCGCTTCATTGAATGTTTAGTTTGATAATTTATAAACATATATTCATTGTGAGACTATTGCTTTCAAGTTGTGTTAATACAAATATGATTTAAACTTGTCCTTTCCGTTGCCAGCGTATTCAATATATGGAAATAGCATATGTGTGTGCGTATGCGTGAGTGATTGGGCGAAAATTATTTCCAGCTAAAATATAGTATTTTACTGTATATGAATTAGCCTTTGCGATCCTGGAATAAGATACTAGTAGTTGACTCTAAAGTACTTCTAACCTTAAGTCATAACATCTCAGACTACTATAGTAACATTGACATGCGTGCATCAGTGTTTTTTTTTTTTATTTCATTCAAAAGATTTAGGGACACGGAAAAAACACCCAGAAACATATTTTCCTTGTTTATACTTCACACAAAGTAATTTGTCAGTCGTGGCGAGTATGTGTGACAGTTTATTACTTCTGTGTGAATATAATTAAATTATGTAATTTTTGGTACGGTATCAGGGGTAATTCTTCTCCACGGGGTTCTCCACACTTGCCAGGGGGGAATCTCGTCTCGTCTCTATATCTCGTTCCCTTGAGGTATGGGATCGGGAAAGTCACTTAAACTTTACAGTCAAATAAGACACACACAACGAAATACGTTTCAACTCTCGTCTTAGTCGATCAGTCGAGCACTTTGTAAGACACAGCGCCTTGGGGAAAAATCCCCAAGACTATCGCAAGGCTGACCCAAGACTCTCTTAGACTGCGTCAACACTCGCCCCAAGGCTCTCCAGGACTACGTCTATCGTGGAGTACTTGCCAAGACCAACTCAAACTCTCTTTATTCATTTTCAAAACTCTAACCAATTACAAAACAGTAAAAAGACTCTAGGGCGTAACCTTCAATCTTTCAGCCAATCAAACTAAGTACTGGACACGTCATATCTTTTGATTAATCGTTCACTATATTAATAACTACGGATACCAACTGTCAGAAAGAGTAGTTAGAATAGCGACGGTTATCTCGTAATTAGTTCCAAATCACTGAGTCGAGTTCCGTTCAAAACTTCAAATAGGCCTAAACGATGACAGACATAACACAGCAATTCAGCTAATAATCAACTAATTAAGTCGGTCAACAGATACGCGAAAACTAATTCATGACACCGGTATCACTCTTTTGGGAAGATAATGGTGGCTCTGAAAAGGACCGTTTAGTTTCGTTGCGTTAGAAAACGATATGAATTTACTCCAACCTATGATCCGCGTATGTGTGTGTGTGTGGGGGGGGGGGTCGATCTTCTTAGCAGTGAAACTGAAACGGGCACGTGAAAATTACAACTCAACCTAGATTTATTCTTCAATAGCATACATACACAGTGGCAGCGGCAGCGGTCGCCCCACGAAGAAAATGTTGGGGGCGTCGCCCCTCCAAAATCAAGTGGAAACCCTTTCAAGTTGTGTCAGCAAAATTTCCCCCTAATGCAGGAAATAGTGTTTTAGATTGTCTAGATTCAAATTTGTGCATGCCCCCGGACCCCCTAGAGGTTGTGAGCAGATCTCGCCCCTGATGTAAAATTTCGTGCCGCCCAATCTGAATTACAGATGTGAACAAAAACGTACAACATTGCCATAGATCTCGTCGAGTAACAATTTTTAGGGCGGAGTCGTTCTCATTGACCTAATATAAATACGGTGTTTACTCTGATGTTCGAACAAATTTTGGCCAAATTAATGTTCGGTGTGCTTACTAGTAGTTTCCTGTAGGTCTACATGCATAAAATGAAATACAGAGAAAACATATGGTTATGAAATGATGATTCTAAGAAGTATACTGTCAATAAATGTGATATGAATAAACACAAACATACATTATACTATAAACCGTCAAAGGTTATATATAAATATCTATAAAATGAATGAATCCCGCCAACACATACTGATATATCTGGAAATTACGTAAATACATTGTGTGGTGATACTGGACAGCAAATGTTTATAACCACAGTGTCATTTATCAAGAACCTTGTGCAGCAAGCGAAATTTCACAGTTACAACTGCAACGCAGTTTATTTAGTTCATGGCGCAACTTATGAAAACCTGTTGCAACCGGGGCATGCATTTCGATGGAATTCAGCTTCCTGGGATAGGTATTTTTGATGTTTCGAAACCTTTCACTTAGGTAACCGGGATTCGATTGTTCCCCACGTTGGACTCACAAAAAACACACGCGCAAGCTCGATTCGTGTCACATTCGATTCTCTACTGCCTCTCCTTTCTTCCCGAGACAGCTTCAAATCACTTTTATTACTTGTCAACCATTAGCCAATTACAATACAATATAAGAGACTTTGAGGCGTTGCCTCTAAACAAACAGCCAATCACACGAAAGTTTTACACATCATAATACAATTGATTAATCGTCACTATATTAGGAAAACCACTATCATATTATCGACGTCAGTTTATATTTATGGGTACTAATGGTCTTGCAATAACATTCCACAGTTGACATCAATATACATCATTTGTTCTGGACTACGACCAAGACATCGCATAAGCTTGAAATCGCAAACATCATTAGTTTTGGTTTACGACCAAAGCACCGCATAAGCTTGAAATCGCAAACTCATGAGAATGTGTCGTCTGGTCTTGACCAGTTCTGTCATCTGGCCTCATCATTTAACCTTTATCAGTAATTTAACCTTTATCAGTAGATGTCATGGCAACCACTATTAAGCTGACTGGCCTCATCATTTAACCTTTATCAGTAGTTGCCATATAAATCATGATATTCCCGTCTACTAAATAGCAAATTACTAGTTAACTACAGAATTGGGTTTTGTCAACCGTCGGAATAAGCTACTTTGGCCAGTAATATATGGGGGAATTTGACGAAGGATACATTCATAGCAATGGAATCAAAACAAAATTGAAACTGTGAAACTGCTTTGCGAGCGGAAGTCGATATTTACGAAAACCTCGAATACAGCGGTCTGTGAGATCGACATTTCAGTGGATGGGGTTGCTTTTGACAGCAACAGTCAACGACGACTGGATCATCAATATTAATGCTTTCCAGGAGCTTAAAGCTATGTGAGATCTACATTTCAGTGGATGGGGTCGCATTTGACATCAACAGCAACAGTAAATTACGACTGGAGCACCAGTAGTGATGATGCTTCCCAGGAGCTTGATGCTCTGAGATCTACATTTCAGTGGATAAGGTTGCTTTTGACAGCATTAGTACATTATGCCTAGCTGAAAATGTCCCAATACTGAGACAATTGATGTTCTTTCCCAAAGTTGGGATGGGGAAAAAAGCTCTCAAAAACGGCTTCACAAAATTAATGAACGAGGTATGTGCGAAGTTGAGATGGGAGCCAAGCTCGTGGCACATTATTCATTCCCATGTGGCAGTCGATCTCTTTCGGACAGTGATATGCCCGGCTGAAAATATATATGCAATTGAAGTGGAACTTTTGGAAAGATTACTACTAGTATCACATGTGAATACAGTACATGGTACAAAAAAAGCCACAATGGCGTATTTAATGAAACTTTCAATTTCTATCTGGTGGCGTTACACATTTGTTTTGTTTTAACGTTTTGGCATGAGAAGCCATGATGTAAGAGTTATTAACAGAGTGTTTTTTTGTTTTTTTTCAGGTCGGAACCTGAGCCTGGAAGACGTCCTATTCGGCTGAGGAAGTATTACTTTGTTTAATCGCGCAGCGAAAATACTACTGTAACAATCAAGAACTTTGCGTATATCAAGAATGGAAACACAATTATCGGCAAGGAAGGGTCACTTTTGTATTTTTTTTCCTTATTTGTTTGAATGTTGGCTTAGAGTCATGTTTATAAAATTACCCGGTCGCATGTTACAGCGGGTTACGGTTATCCAACCATCCATCTTTTTTTGATAGTCTATCCCAGCATAATCTTTGTTGAATCTAGAAAAGACTGAAGTTTTGAAGTCGCTTTGTATGAAATACTCATTATGTACAGTTTTGTTAATTTTAAGAGTTTTTAATTTGCTATGTTATTTACGAAAAACACAAGTTATTTTTTATTTCTCAGTTAAAACTGAGCAGTACAAACAGGGTAATACAGTCGTTATTTCTAGACTCGATTGAGTTGCGTGCCCTGTAAAAATGTTACTCACGGAGATGTGTCGACAATGCATCCGTTATATTCACGTCATCTGAAATATCTTTTTAGGTCAAGCGTCTTCGTGAAGTGCGTGGCGATGAGGCTTTAGAGTTCGGCATTCATTCTTTGGGACAGGAGATGCAACTGCCGCATCTAACGCAGGTTTAGGGCCAGGGCCGGGGGCAAGGCCGGTCATATACCGCCAAAGATGGCGTTGCTGTTGACTCGCTGACTAGTCATTTGTCAATTTCGCAAACTTTGTAGGTGTACGGGCCCGTTCTTTTTTATATCTACGTGGCCGCACCTAGCATGAACCTTACCATATGTGAGTGTGTGTTGTATATTGTCGGATATGACGAGTCAAGTAAAGACATAATGTTAACCGCGTTTCGCAGTATAGCGGTTAACTATTCAAAGTTGTCTGTTCGTGATGGCAAACAGACGAGTATGGTATGTGGGGTCATGTGACAAGGGGTATTTAAGTGGAGGACAGAAGGTTGAATGTCAATCTAGGCCAGTCTCGCCACAGTGCAGTTTTCAACTGGTTGTTTTGTAAGTTTGTTAATGTTTGTTGTATAATACAGGGTGACACCCGCCACCTTCCCCTGGGCACGTTCGACAGTGCGACGGGTACACTACCATTCACTTGTAATCAGCTAAATAAGTCGGTCAACACTGGCAGATACGCGAAAACTAATTCATGACATTATACTGCGAAATGCGAATATATTATGTTATTAAACCTCATAGCCTTAACAGCCAATCATATTCGCGCATTTGCCGGTCGATATATTCGAGTATAAACATCGCGGCATCTGAAATGTTTGACAGTAGTTGATACCTTAAGATAAAAATCTTAAATATGACAAAAATTTAGGAAGAAATTACGGAATAGAAATTCATACAAACTATTTGAAGTGTGATGCAACAGCTACTTGTAAATGGAGAACATTCTGGATGTCTTCATTTAAAACTCGGACAAGACATATCTTGTAATACAGAGTTTTACAAAATGTTTGTTTTATTCGGTATAATAATACAAATATTGACCCAAGCCTCGGTCGATGTACAGATTTGTCCACCAATGCAATGTATTCATCGTGATATATATATAAATATATTTGTATTTTGATTTTAGTTTCATGTAATGTCACTGTGTATCTTTTTTTAGCACACAGTACCCCCAGATGCTACTTTTATAAATACTTGCTCGCATCATCCACATTGAAAGTTGAAAACTGCGAACAAACAAATACTTTTCACGACAATGCGATGCACGCGAAACATGTTTTTTTTATATGTACGTCTTCATTGAAACGTAATACGGTTGTACTTTTAATAATACGGTCGTCTTATCATGTGTGTGTTAGTTAAATCGGACTTCAGAGACAACGTCAACAACCACATTAAGTTGAGTCGGAGATTTGATTTGATGCATCAATAATTCCTCCTCTAATAATTTGTTCTTTCTCCTCGCTGACCCCCCACCTCGAATTGGCACTAAGAATGCATTGTCTGTTTCTTGCCAATGACTTGAAGAATCACAGCGGTTATCTTCTTGCGCCGCCATTTCCTCGTAGCGGGCAAAGATTTTCTGCATTGCCGGTGAAGGGGCACTCTTAGATCGAGCGTCAAGTAGTCTGAGCAAGCGCAGTTGTTCTTTGTGATCATTCTCCAAAGTAGATTTCAGTCGGTTGTCCCGTCGTCTTTGGTTGAGGCGTATTTTTTTCCTGTCATCTGTCAGTGATGATACTTTCCCAGCCGCTGCCATTGTATCGCGTACAACGCTTTGTTTATAATATTCCCACTTAGTATGCTGTACGTATGAATGGTGCAGAACCTTTTGTGAAGGGTAGCTGAATGGAAAATAAAACATATCATGAAATGGCAAATACGCAATGTCATAAATAAAGAAAACAATGCAACATTTCTATAAGTAGCGTCATCTAGCGGAGACGCACACTTGCGACGTGAAAATTATGATGCACGCAAATGAAGGCAATGTCGTTATGAAATCTAGTACATAATAGACTATGTGGGTTGTAAATGAAGGGAAATATTCATCGTACATCACGCGTTCACATTTCACAATGTATTTCACACGCGTTGCATTTCGACTCATTTCGAACACAACACAACACGCGTACGACGACCAATGAACTGACATTCTGCCATAGTGTCCTATAATCACGTCACAATCAATCTACTAACTAGTAACTTAGGTGTTGTTAAAGGGTGGTAGTCCTCGCGCAGCGCATGTTTGAATTTCGAGAAAAATATACACGAGTTGTATATGTCACTATGAGTCCCATATCAAACAGGACGCGGCGCGACGACCACCCCGGGTGACCACCGTCCTTTAAGAGATTGCGGGCGACGACAAAACTGTGATTAGTTGAATGCGTCTAGCTGAATGAGGAACGTGAAAACTTTACTGACCTGAACTGTGCTGCAAGCGTTCTGCTGAATTCTAATGCTTCTGGCGTGGCAAGTTTGAACAGAAGCTGTTTTTTTAAACGCAGTACTTTAGCTCCCGCACTAACAAGAATCAAGCCTTTGTTGGCCACAGTAGCATTTAAAATAGCATCGAAGTTCTGCAAAAAGACGGACATAAGTAGAAACCATTATGAATGCTTAAGAGGTACGAATGGTCTCTACATTAGATTTATTTTATCCCCATTAACATATATATGACTGGTAGAATTGCGATATGATCTGCTACGATATATATCAAATTTATACGATTCGCCAGTGATACGATATATTAATTTACCATGATATAATTAAAGAAGCAATACGGACTACTTTTTTATAATGTTAAAATAACTTTGTTCGATATTGTATCTTTTAGGGTAGGATGTGTTGTAAAATAAAATTAGTGTTGTTGCTGCAATTATAGCAGTATTCTTTCAGTGATTATTGGTGTGTAATTATGTGTACGTACAGATAAATTCGAGACGCATGTGCAGTATTTTCAGAAGCTATGTTTTGCTGCCAGAACAAGGTTTTATTTTATGAAAACATACCCTGATGTTTTTTATCAAGATGAAATATCGAAAACAATTATTCTAAAATGCTCAAAATTTTGAGCTATCCAAAATGATTCACATAGCATATTTTGTAATAATAGTAGAACATCAAAATTGACTGTGACCAAGAGAGTGTGGTACATTAAAGATAAATTAATCCTTACGTAAACCTGTGACGGTTTTAATACCCCTACGTCCAGGTAAACTGAGTCTTGATTTTCTGTTTTTTTGTTCTGCAATTTTATGAAGGCATTTAATGACATGTTTGGCAAAAATTCGTCTGCCTGAGATGACGGGTCTGGCGTAGAGCTTTCTTTAATAATTGCATTGCCACTCTCATCCAACTCTGCTAGTTCCAGCTACAATGAAAATAAATAAGTTATTATCTGTCGCCGTTCACGGTAATAATACTAGTGTATACACAAACCACCAGGTATATAGTGCTTACGTCAACGACTGAGGGCGCTTCAATCATACATTTACTATACTATGCTATTCAAAAATCCTGTAATTTAGAGCAGCTCGGCGGGTGCCGAAATAAACGTATTATGAAAACCGATATCTCCCTGTCAATGTTCCTTGGAAAATTACAAAACCATACCCATGGAACTATCTTAGCGGTCGTTGTTTTGACTTTGCCACTTTCAATTTCAGCCAACCGACGTTAAAAAACACATCCATTTTCACGAGGGGTATTCAGAGGTAAAAACAACAATAATGAATTCACATGGTTTACGTTTATTTTTTCATTCTAGCCACGTAATTCACATGTTATGTTGAAAAAACGTGTGATTTGTGGCTGTAGACATGGTGAAGTATCGAGAAACATCGTTTGAATTGTCTCACCCATATTAAAACTACAACTGAGAACCAGCCTTGTGCGCCGATATTTCTGATTCG